TTGCTGTAAAACACATTCTCAAGATGACGATCATCAAATACAATTTAAAACTATGAAAGTAAATTGTATTGTTAGTTTTAGAAGTCAGGACTACCTAAAATTATATCTTTATGGAATAAGATCCTTCTCAGATCTTGCCTCCCTCTAAGCACATGCCATATATGGCTATGTTGTATAGGGCTGTATGTGTGGGATGCAGATCAGACACTCCCATAGCATCCATGTACCATACGAAGCAGCACAGTTAGTGATGCGCATGGGAGAATGAAAATTTCAACCTAACTTATTTATAACAAAGGATAGACATATTTAACATATATTGCTGTTTCAACAAGGGTGATGTTTAAGTTTTTTTTTTTTTTTTTTTTAAATGACATTGGGAGTCATATAATTACACCTCAGAGAAAGTATGCTAGCTAAATAAGCCTCACTGACCAGTGAGCACCTGTGCAGACAGGTGATGCTCTGAGAGCACATCAGGATTTCAAGCATTTCAGAACACATTGTTTTAGTTGAACATGCCGTCATGTACAAAACATTCTCTACCTGTCCCCTGAAATCTTCTCTTGTCAGTATCAATGACCATAGAGAAAGACAAGAACTGAAGTAGTGAAAACTGACACCAAAGTCACCTCAGTTATGTTATGCCATGAGATGCATTTCACAGAGTGGATTCAAACACAAAAGTCTGAGATGGAAGAGAGGAGGGAGCAAAGGGATGAGGGAAAAAAACATGCAAGAAGCTAATATTTGTATTAAGCCTATAGGGAGACAATCAACTATGGGTTCTACCACTTTGGCATTTATTGGAGATTACACTAATACAACACCACAAAACAACATGAGAATTGTCACCAACTTGTTTCTCATTACTTTTAAGCATTTAAGGCAATTCAGAGAGGAACACTATAAAACAAGCTATCACCATAAACAAATTCATCAGAAGAGAAGTTAAAAGAAAAATTACTAAACAGGAAATATAAAAGCTTACATGTCCTCCCATGGATATTCCAGTCATCCCTAGTGGTCCATAGCCTTCTCTTTCTAGCCAGTGCAAAAGAGCTGCCGATTCTAGAACAAGAGCTCCTCCCATCACAAACAGGTCCGAGACATTTTTTAAACACGACCGCCTTTTCTCCCCAGAAAAGGAAAATATAGGATTTATTTTCTAAGATTGTGTGTTAACAGTTCTCATTATTCCATATGTATTTTTAATAAGAAACTTGAGTATACTCTTGGAGGAAGTTAGGAGCTGCACTCCTATTGATTCAACAGGACACGGAGTCCAGATTCTCTGGCGCTTTTCTGTTTTCCAACATAAGCAGCTAAATACTTTTTCATAATCCAGACCTAAAGAAGGACTAGAAACAGGCATCTGCTAAACAATATTAATCACTGATCATCTGATTTTCTAGAAACAGAGACATTAAACATAGTCTCTCATAGTATTCAATACTGTAACATTATAATAGACCCTTAAAAATAAAACCAAACTGATACAGTGCTAAACAAACACTATCTCATTTGTAGAAACAATCCTTTATATTTTCTTATTATTTACTTGTTTAGTGTCATTGAAAAATTGCACACAACATTTGAAGAGCAATCAGCATGTCATCTTTGGAAGTATTCATCAGTGTCACTGTAAGACTGAAATTGTAAAGTGTGAAGTTTGCCACTGTAGTGTACTGTAAGGCATTAAAACACAGAAAAAAGAGGTAGCAAGCTATTCGGCTAAACCAAAGCTGCTCCGAGTCTAAAGTCACTTGGCATAAGGTACAAGTATGAAATTTAAAGCATGGAAAAAGGAACCTAAGGTGTTTTACAGAGCCATCAGTACATTTCAAATTTGGGAGGGAGGGTTGCATTTTTATTGTCAAGTTATAAAAGTCTATGGCCTCTTCCGCCAACACACAAGTCCCACTTAAGATACTTGGAAGCACAAGGACAAAGCTCACTCTGCAAGTCACAGGAGAAATGATTATATGCAGTAGCTGCTAAGGTCCAAAATCTACAGGTTAATGTAACTGCTCCTGGCAGCTTGCACTTCTGCAGCCCTCTACAGCTGCTATGTATAAAATAGCTACTAGCGGGTTAACTAAAACCACTGCTGCTGCTTTGTAACAAGGAGTGACAGTTGCTGGTTAGGCACTAGACTGAGTACTCGCTGTTTTAGAGAATACAGGACCACCTCACACATTAAAATGTCAAGTCAGGCAACAGTGACAAGAGACAGGAGTTTTAAATACCTTCTCCAAATTACTTCATCTCTTTCAGTCTGCGCTCCAACAAATAATCTTTCATATGTCTCTTACAAATATCCAAGCCAGGAGTAAAAACCCTACTTGTATTTGGACTACCAGAAGTATTGTCTGATTAAAAACCCCTTGTCTCTTGAACACATCTTGCTGAACTCTGCTTATAAATCAGCCCTTCTGAATATGTTAAAAGCAAAACCACAGGAATATTTAATTTGGTTTCTACATTTTAATTTAAGAAACTGAATAAGAGAGCAAGTCTTCTAAAACACTGGGCATTGCATAGAGCCCAATTACTGCCAAATAAACATCCAATTTATTTAAATGTCCTAATGTAACAACTCTTAAACATTTTAGAAAAATTAAGTCTTAACAATTTTAACAGGAAAGTATCCTCTTTGAACAAAGAAAAACTCTAGTTTACTGAAACAAAATTGCAAGGTGAGAATCAAGAAAATGAACTGGCATTTCCCTGCATACATGCCAATCTCAACGTGAAACTGCAAACCTACCTTATGAAACCTTCCTGACCACTTTGACGTCTTCACACAAAAAGACACAAAGCAGTCAAGTAAAGGATCCACAATTTCACATAAATAGATTACAGGTGATCCATTTTTTTCCCCGTAATAATAAGCTATCAAAGTGTGGGGTGTTTTTTTGTTTAGTTTGCAGATTTAATACTTACAATTGATCCTTAGGTTTTCTACAGCCATGTAGGAGACACAAGTTAAAGAAAGTAAATATTTTTATATAAAAACCAGCAAGATAAATAAAAACACATATATAAATAGTACAGCGATTAATTTAAATCGGAACCTAATCTCCAAAAAGTTTATCTGAAACTAAATTATGTAAAATGTCATTCAACAATGTTACTTATTAACTTAAAATATCACGTTTGTGAGATATGGGTAGGGGAAAAAGCATAACTATAAATTATTGCAATAAAACGAGGTGACAGCATTATGTAAGTCACTGATAACTGTATGGAACTTATCATGTTTTTGTTTCTTTTTCTGTTGTTTTTAAACAAATGGAAAATTTGACTAAGTTTCTTAGAAGGGTTGCAGTTGAAAAAGAAAGGCAGGAGAAATAACTTTTTTTCCACCATTAATATGGTGGAATATTAACAAAATATAAAGTCACAAAGTATAATGCAGAATGAATGAAGTTTTCTAAAAGGACATCATCTAAGGAATCATCTCAGTACTTTGATTATGCCTAGGAAAACAGATTCGTATTAGAACTCTTACTCTAATGGCTAAAATAAGTAGCAGAACACATTTCCCAAAAAAATAGCAAAAAACTACCTAGTGTAGAAAAAGCATAGTATATTGTGTTTCACAGCATTTAATTCTATGGTGCTCCAAGTCTGTGCTTGTATAAAATTTCTATGCTCTGAAGAGCATAAATGTCTTGCTTTCTACAAAAAGGATATAATAAGGATTTTCTAGCAGTAGAGAAGCCATACAAGCTTCTTTAATCATTGGGCGGGCCATTAATGTGCGTCTCCTCCAGAAGTGCTAAGATATATAAGCATATATTAAGATAAAATATTCATATTTAATTTCTCAATAACAGTAGATTTTATAAACATACATGGTCTCCAGTGCCCGCTAAATGAATGCACACTGGTCTGTGTTTGCTGTTCCATCTTCTGGGTATAATGAACTGAAATCTAAGAGGGGAAAAAAGCACTTATTAAAACAAGTTAAGTATATCTATTTAGGTGTGGTTTTTTTTGTTTGTTTTTTTTTTTGTTTTGTTTTGTTTTGTTTTCTTTCCAGAGAAACTAATGACAGTAATAAAAATAGCTAAAATATTCTGTAATGCATGCTGGCAAGCTGCCATCGGTACAATGATATCATACTTCATGAATGCATCCAACAAAGAAATGAATCCAGAAGCAGGGCAGAATAAATGCCAAACGAGAAGGAGCTGAGCTGAAAGATCACGTTCCCAAAAAAGGCCACTACCTCATCATCACGATTTAAGTTTTGCAGAGTGGAGAAATGGAACTTCAGATGAACAGCCTAAACAAGCATAACTAGCTGTCACAGGCAGCATTATTTTTCTCTGAGGTTACAAACCACGAAACTATTCTATACACTCAGCAACTATAATTCAGTATCCTCTGCTGCTACTCCTAAGCCTTTTACAATCTAACTACAGTAGGGAAGTCACTTCTGCTGAGCTGTCAGCACTTCCCCACAAGATGGAGCACTGCTACATCCAACAGCACTACATTTTTTAAATGGGTGCAAAGTGACTGGGGAGTTTAAACAGCACAACGGTTACAAGCAAGTGAAATTTGCAGAGCACATCAAAGCTGTAACAATATTGTCCAACATAAAAGATTAACATAAAGTAACTTCAAACTATAAGACTGTATAAGGAAACAAGCAGTATACCATATTTTCAGCTATGATGCTAATTAGGTTCAGTAATGCCAAGAGAACAAGGAGGTGAAACAGAACAGGTATTTTGACTATTGAACTTTTGGAACTATATTCTTTAGCTTTATGCATGTAAGTACCCATGAAATTGGATAATGCCAGTATCAACTTGTGCTGACAGACTAGTATGTCTAGTTTAAATATATAAGAAAAACATGAAAATTATCTAGCCTAAACCTAGAGCAACAGGAATTACGCTTTTCTTCCAAGCCCATGCTTGAAAGCAATGTTAGCATCACACCAGCATAAACATGACTAGGTACTTTCTGACTATTATGGATTGAGCAGCTTTTACATAAAACATTCTCTTGTTCCATGTCTAAACAAGCAACTGCAGTCCTGGCCATATTACACTCCTTTCCAGCCTCCTGTTCTTTGGCAGTGGAGAAGGTACTCCGTACCTTCGTGCGGTAAGGTGTCCACACTCAAAAACAAAAAGCAACCCTTCAGAATCTGCCAAAGCTTCATCTGAAATGCCTGCTACTAATAGCGCCAGATAATTTAAGATTTTTTTTTCATGTAGCTGAAGCATTTCAGGAAGTGTTACATTTTCCACATCTACTACAAATAAAATTTTAAGCTTTCCACACTATCACTACTAATAATTATGACTGAAAAAGAGCTTTTGTTAAGTTAGTACATTATCACACTATCCAGTTAAGTCATAACTCTTCCCCCCCCCCCATCTTCAGAATATTATCACCCTTTACTAAAAAACCTATGTGGTAGAATAGGCATTTAAGACATTTATTTCCATTTTAGAATAAACTCCCCTAGCAAAGTGTGTTATTGCAGATAGATGAAATTAGCCATAAGTAAGAACTAATTTCGCTTCTGAGGTAAAAATTTAAGTATGACAACACACACACACACAAAAAAAAAAAAAAAAAAAAAAAAAAAAAAAAAAAACAAACATTTGAAATTTTACAGGTATTACAATTAGGCTCTTAGTAAAACTCCCTTCTAATTACAGACTACTTTTACTTAATTTTTATTTTTTTATTACTTTCTACTTTGTAGAAATGAGGTGCAACTTGATTTCTCCTACCTTGCTATAAGAGATTCAACTGGCAGGATACCTGGAACATAGTGAGCCAAAGGGGAAATAAAGTGACCCTCAAGGATTTTACAGTCTGACTGCTCCTCAACCTGTAGAGGGAATGACACAGTAACAGCATATTTCACAACAGTGTTTAGCTTTTTGATTTGACTATTCTTTGAGGGTTAGCATTCCTTTAATATTTGCTATACCTATCCCCCGCAGCTGTCCGATCAGAGTGGGAAATTAAAATAGCATCTACACAACACTTTAATTCTTTCGAATCCTTCCATCAGACCATAACCAGTATGACTTTAAAATGGTTCCTTTTCCACACTTTACAACTACATCATGTATTTTTGCCTCTTATTTCTAGCAAGAGAGGCCAAAAATGCAAACTAAGAAAACATTTAATTTGCTATAGAAAAGAGCATCTGCACATCTACTCAACTATGCAACTACTTTTCCTTCCTGATCCTTTTTTCACACTTTCTGAATTAAGAGTTCTGACAGTGAGAAATATTTCCATCTTTGCATTTTATTTGAAAACACAGGGCCCTCTTTCCTCCCCCTATCTGGGCATCTCAGAACTCCCATTATGCTATTTTTTTCAACTAGAGCTTTACCTCTACTCTCACAGAGAAACAATCTGATGCTCTTTCTTACAGAGCAATTGAGAACATCTGTGAAGTTAGTTAATGGACTCACTAGAAAAGCACGTATCAGCAGGGGTGACTGCACACTGCTGCAGATGTTTCACCACCCTGTCTCAACAGTTACCAACTGCAGTCTCCAGCTTGCCAGCCTTGAAGCAAAAGACACAGCAAGACCAGCTGCACCATGAAATACAGGTTCACAGGAGATCAAAATTCAACTAATCTATCCTCTAAAAGCAGCTATTTAAGGACTTGATTTCATCTTTATATATACACCATTAGGCATGTAAATTCAGTTAAACTGGCTCTTTTGTTTTTAAAGTACCTTGTCGATGAATACTGGGTAATCTTTCGAAACCAGCCTCTGACATTTTTCCCTGTTTCCAATAATCTTTCTGAATTCAAATATTCTGTTAAAAAGAAACAAATACAGAAGATTCATTTTTTTAATAAAAAAATTAGAGCATGGTCAAAATTCTGAACCTAATGTTCACTGAATATTTCAGAAGCTAATATAAAAATCATTAAAAAAAATGAAATTATGAAGCCAGCTTCATCTTTATAAGCTAATCACACTACCTAAAGGTAACATACAAGAACATTTTTTTCAGCTAAAAAGGGGAGGGGAGAGCCTCAGTTACATTGCTAGAGTACCATTTTTAAACAGCACTTTATATACATGTTATTCTTATAACTAATGTTATTTTTCATGGATTAATGAAGACAGAAGAACCTCCTATAATTCTCTGTAACCAAAATGATATGAATTGAATGGGAAGAAAACAAGCTGGGCTGCTGGGTTCCAAGTATGGTTGTCAATGAAGCTTAACTGGCCACGGGTTCAGGCAATTCATAAGGGCAATAGTTGATATTTCAAAAAGATCCAGATAAACGAGACGAACAGGTCAAACACCCTAAAGCTGAGCAATACAACTCCAAAATCTTGCCTCGGAACATAAGACCCCATACAATAACACAGCCTGAGAAGTGCAGAGCTTGGTAGCAGCTCTACAGAAGAGGATATGGGAATTCTGGTGGATAACAAACCGGATGCAAGATAGCAGCATTCCCTTGCAGCTGAAAGGAACAATGGCATATACAGAAAGGTGTTACCTGACCAGCTAATAAAGCAGATTTTAGTATAAAGGCTAGATTGGAGATGTGATGAATATTCAAATGTATCAGGGGTACTAGCTCCAAAACATTTATTTGGAAAGTTTCAGTCAAAACTACAGGAGTATTCTGGGCAGAAGAATGATATAGCATGTTGCTCAGCCACCTTTCAAACAGCAAAGGAAACCAGCATGCAAACAAAAGAGAAGAAAATCCAGGTTACCACTGCAACAAAATTAGTCCTGGTACATAACCTTTTTTTTTTTTTTTCCCCCCCTCTTACAGAGGATAGCAACTACAGTAACCATTTCTGAAAGAGTAGGGTTAGGTACAAGATGTCTGCATGCAGTGAGTTAAATGAAAAGCTGTTTTGTTTTTGTTGACACTATTTTTTTTTTAAATGGATTTATACAATCCCTCTTTAGTTAGGCAGAAGAGGCTTCTCTATAGGACAGTCATAAAATTGACATCTCCAAAGAACCATATGTATCATATTCCAAAATGATACTTACTTTATGATGCTATTTTATCATTATCCCCTTTCTTTTCCATGCTAAATCTTCCTCATGCAGAGAAATTTCTCAACTCTTAAGCATGAGTTGAGGATAAAACATTATGATAGTGACAGCCATCACATCAAGGGTTTGCTCAGTAAATATTCAGACAACATGTAGGCAAGACACTCATTCAGTTCAATTAATGCTTGAAGTTTAATCGTTTATGCTAATGGATTTTCACAGTTACATCCTCCTCCCCAACATTAAAAAAAAAAAAAAAAAACACCACCCACTGACACTGTTTCCCAGCAGGATGTGCATAGCAGGAAGTGATAGTAGGAGTTGTCCCACTAACTAGGGGGAGGAGGCTTCATACAAGCGAAGCTGGGCTGCTAGGGAGCAGCTCATCTTCCTACCACTCAGGGGCAATACACAGAGCAATATGTTTTCTTCTCCTTTCAGAAAAGGAGATCAGCAAGCTTGCTTCTTCCATTTCCCCTATAGCTTCTGATCTAATTTAATTTATTTTTGTTGTTGTTTTTAAAGAAATAGCCCAAGCTCATACCAGTATTTTTAAAAAAAAAAGTAATGCTACTTATCTCTTATTTTCAAAACATCTAAAAAGAATGAGTTTGCCACCCTGAAAACAAATGGAAAAGTTTAAGATGGAACCAAAAGTTTCATACTCTGAAGTCTGTTATTATTAGGCACATCTTTTATTACTAGAAGGATCTCTTCTAGAATGTTAGTGAGAACGTTAGTGAGAATGAGAAAAGATTGTCAAGTATTGCTCAGAGATAGAATATTGGCAGTATGCTATCCTACATGCATATTTGAAAGGTGTTAAGTTTTTCACATACACATATACACTCTCAAACAGTGCCTGTTTAAACACAAAACACATTTGGCAAATTCATTCCTTTTTTTTTTCTCTCTCAAATCCATTCCCTCCTTTGGCATGGAAAAAAATGATTTGTCTGAACAAAATCTTTAATGCATTTTTTTAAACAAAGAATGCACAACTGCTGGGTTTTTTGTTGTCGGAAATTGCTGTGTTTTTGTTGTTTTAAACAATGAATGCACAATGGCTGTTTTTTGTTGTTGTTTGTTTTTAAAGATAACATACAGCTCATGCTCTTATTTTGCATCAAGTAGGAAGTCACCTTTTCAGATCTTCTGGCTTTCCCCATCCTCTGATGAAGAGTTTAGTGAGGAGAAGTTTTCTATATAATACATCCAATTTACTCACACCCATTAGCAGCAAACTGACATCTAGAAGTGGGGGGAAAAAAAAAAAAGAGCAAAAAAAAGATTTTATTTCAAGTGCAAAGTCAGTTCTTTCATACCCCAGTCTACTATTTTAAATCAAGAAAGTTAATCTTGACCTCCAGTTTAAGTCAATTCCTTTAGTTCTAAACAAAATACAGAGATAGTTAAAATACAAAGGAACTTAAGACTAGGAAGAGAGAAATGCCTAATATAGCTTGGAAGGTATTACATCATTGATGACAGACTCATTGAAGATGCACATGAGGTCACTGAACTACACTTTCAAACAGAGCTAGTTATATTTGAACAGGACTGATAAGTGAGCAGTGGTTTGGATCTCTGTCATGTAAACATAGCTATGATGACAACAGTTTTCCAAACTAAATGAGCTTTTATAAGCCTTCTTCAAAATGGAAGCCTGAGGTAAAAAACACACTTCAAAATGGAAGCCTATTCTAGTCTGGAAGAATAGATTTGTTCAACTACGTAATTATACATTCATAAGAATTCGAAGGGAAAAGGAAGTAATTTCAGGTACTCATGCAGAAAAAGCATTTTTTGTCAATTTGTCTTCACTTGAATCTTAAGAACATATCCATTCTATTTTATCGCTTTCTTTCCAATACTTTCTAAAACATTTACTGAGTTTTTGAAAAAAAAAAAAAAATCAAGCTCCCACTTCTTTCAGGGAAGAAAATGCCACCAAAATCCTCAACAGTATTTAAACAAAGATACTTAGCTCGAACATGGCCAAAGTACCAACAAGATTTAGGCAAACTCATTATTTTCAAAGCAATACTTACTGAAGTAAATGGGAAGCCACTACTGTGCTTTTCCAATGAGGAGCAAGAACTCAAATCTGGTTTCTCTGTCAGTAGGATATAGGATTTTCCAATTAAAAAATATTCTAGGATCTGTCCATACATAAAGAAACAAGAGATTTAATATCAAACATCTTGTTAGCAGGTTATTTTCAACATTTCCAATCCTTTCCGCACTACGTGACCTAAATAAATTATATTATTTTGTGTTGTTATAAAGTTAATTCACACTACCATTGTTTATTTACTCAACCACAGTTTAAATATGGTCATTCTTAAAGTAAATCTGACTGAACATTACAAGTTAAAGTTGTGGTCTAATACATCTACGAACTTGTAAAAAGACAATACTAAAGTATATCATTTATAAACACTAAGAATCAAGATACAGAGAAACACCCTATGTTCTCAGAGTGACAAGCATAGTAACTACCTAAATATTAGAACAAGTATTTTAGAAAGCACAATCATTCTAAGTTTCATCATTATAGAACAGAAGCAAACAATTGAAGTCACCAGAAGGTCAAAGCACAGAGCTTTAACACTGCAGATTGTATTAGCTATCATTTTATGAATCTTCAGGTGTTGGTCATTTAATCCAATTATTCCTATCCATACCTGCTTAGTCTAATAGAATAAACTACTCTGGCATTTAAATTTGCCTACAAGGAATATTCCAATAACGCTATGTGATGCAACATAACCAAGCTGTGACACAATATAAGTACAATCAAAACAGTAAGCACTTATAGTTGTAATTTATCAATTCAGAGTGATGTAAGTTCTCACTATGCAAGATATATATGTTTTGCTTCTTAACTCAAAATGGCCAGTGAAAATTGCTGCTTAAAATTCCAGGTACCTTTCAATGGCAAAGGAATAAGAAAATCTTGCAAATCTTATTTCCTATGAGCACTCCTTTATATTTAGTGTTTTCTGATATCATTTGTCTTTTCTTTCTTTATCACTGTGGATAGCAGAAAATATACAATGCTAACTGTCTGCCTCTGTATGGAGATTTTCTACCTAAAGACTTAAGCATGCCTGGGAAAAGCTGTATTGATTTCAAACAGCCCACCTTACGCTCTCCTCCCTTTAAATAAAAATAAACAAGCAAACAAAACAACTGTGCTCATTATGCCAGAGCATAGTATAGCATAACAAATCTACAATGAGAAGCATGGAAAAACCAGAATCAATACAATTTACTTTTGACATATTCATCAGCAAATTGCAAGGAATGGGCTGATGTTTCACAGGGAAGGTGTGAACCTCAGAGAGGAGCGTGAACAACTGGAGGTAAGGAGTTGCTGGATCCCTTTCCAAAGAAAGCCACAGCAAGAGAGCACTGACCCAAACGAGATGCAAAGCACAGTCAGGTAAGCAGGAAAAAAAAAATAAATAAAACAAACCCCAGTGTAATAGTCAATCTTATGGCTATCAGCCATTAACAACTATTACTCCTAAACTTTCTACAGTTTACACTGCTTGTCAAACAGCATTTAAATCTTTCACAGTAACATACAAATAAAGAAAAAATGCAGTTTCACTAAGTGTTCTGATACATGGAACAAAACAGTAAATACAGGTGAGGGGCTAATCCACTTTAGCCTGTGAAAAGAAAACCAAAAGCTCAATCTCACAGCAAAGGGGAGGCAACAGGCAAAAGCTGCCCATGGGAGAAGACTCTTGCAGCAGAATCTGTAACATCATTGCTTTGTTCCTTCCTCCATTCCGTCCTCCTGAGAAATAGGACACATTACATCAATGAAGTCCTCTCCCTTGCCCAGTATGTAAATCCTTTGACTTCACATCAGCTGGAACATTTTACTGACACGTCAGAGAAAAACACCAGCCTCCACAAGACTGTTCTGCTTTTGCATGCAGGGAGATGGTTCAGCATTCTTCTGGTGCTACAAGTGACAGGGGGCTGGACAGAGGCACAGCAATACAGAGTGAACCTTCTCTGGGCTGGAAAGGACAGCTCAGAGGGAGCACACACAAGACTAAGTCCATGACTGAAGCCAAACATGGGAGAAGACACAAAGATGCTACCTTTTACAGCGAGTTCAGAATCTAGACCGATGAGCTTCCCATGTTGTACTAGAGAGATGCTAAAACAGCTTCTAGATAAACACATTATATTTAAATGCTACATTGACTGAGATTAAAGAGTTGCCTCATTTCTTATTCTGTTTCATTGATTGAATAAAGATTCTGCTGCAATCTAGAGCATGTCAATTAATAAGGTCTGAAGTCAAAACGCCACTGGAAGGAGAACAGAAAACAATAGAAGAATCTTTCCAAGTTGTAAATAGAAATGCTAGCTCATATAGAGGAATATTAAGTAATGAGGCAGTGAAACCCACAATACCGAGACAAAAAGCATGGCCACAACACTGCTTTCCAGAAGATCAGGGAGTGAAACTTAGGATTGTAAACTGTATACTACATTCTTGTTCTGGGACCATTGCTTTATTTTCTTCCAGAGACATTGTGCTGCATGATAGCTATACACATCTTCCATGGGCACACTGCAATGACATAGGAAGAGACACAAAAATTAATCTAAAACCCAATCTACACAAAGTCAGCTACTCCTCTTTATGCACAGACTCAGATACATGAAAAACAGCACTGAAAAGTAGGTAAAGACTTTTAATAAAGGCCTAGGCTACTGCTTTGGACAGCAATTATCAAACAGGTCCCAGCAAAGAGTCAAAATGATTTAGCTAAGCATGCCTATTTTAAAAGGCTTCCTGCAAGTTCTTAATATTTCACAGCCACATTACTTCTAAAGAACGGCTCTTCTAGTCACAGCCCTGCTATGCTTCCCTTTTCCTGTGTGAGAAACAGCGTATAAAAACACCACAAAGGGACCACAGCGACCAGCCTTAAACAAGCCAACTAGAAATTCAGCATGACAGGATATAGGGAAGCCTCGGGATAAACAACAGGGCCTAAGCCACAAGTTTTACACCTATCCCAGAGCAGCTCTCACCCTTGCCGATTTTTTTTTCTTCTCCCTACGTGATTGTTATCAGCAGAACAGAACTTCAACTTAAGGTCTTCTCGTGCAAAGAGCAGAGCGAACCCGACGAACGAAGCTCATGCACCCTCCGTCCGCTCACCAGCGGATCTCGTGGGAAAGGGCCAACGGCCGCCCCTAACACCAGGAGACCCGCCGCGCACCCACCTCCC